GTGGAAGACGAAGACGGAGAGGTCGTCAAAACATACGAATTACCTCCTGACCCCAACAGCAAAGCCCCCAAGTCCGGCGAGCCCAATGCTGTTCGCCAAGGAATACATCGTATGGGTACATGGACGGGACTTGGTGGTAACAAGGTAGACAACTCTACCAAAACAGATGCTACAAGTGCAGAACCGGTTCGACAAGGCATAACTCGAATGGGCACATGGAATTTCGGCAAGAATACACCAAATACCGACAACAAAGGGGCTGACGAGGAAGATGATGATCGTCGTATTCGATTCACCATTGGAGGGGCAGGACGTCGTCTGACTAAGGAAGATTTCTTGAAAGAAATCCAAGGTTTAGACCCCAAAGCAAGATGTGAGATTGTCGAAGAAAGCGATGCACCCAGGGCAATGAAGGACTTGGCAAAGAGAGACGCCAGTGATAAAACACAAGGCAGCTCAAGGTTGTTTGAAGCTCAAGACACGCAACTTGCTGCTGGTGCGCAAACTGCACGAGTGGTTGGAAAACAAATGGCCAAGGCACAGGGCGCGAGAATTGACGCAAACAAAGAGAGCAGTGAAACAGGAAGCAGCAAGAATGATGCGCCTGAGACGGCTGCGGAAAGAAGAAGAAGACAAGATGCTTTGAAAGGCGTAGATGAAGATGAAGAGGCAGATGAAGCTAGAGGACGGGGAAGGGGACGTGGACGTTCTCCTAGTCGTGGCGGCAATGGCCCAGAAGAAAAAGAAACGCCAGCAGAAAAGCGAAGACGGGAAGCAGCTCTTGGAGAAAGCGTACAGAGCGATAGTGATGATGATGATACTCCGAGAGTGCCACCACCAGCTGTACGCAGCAGGGGCATTAGATTTGCACAGAGTCCTGTGAGAGGGAAGAAGTAGTTATGGATATATTATGTACATGCCGGTGGATTTTAATGTTTTTCAAAAGGGGTTGATCTCATGCCATTATGTTGTTGGGGAAGAGATTACGACTATACTTGATGATGTTGCTACGAAAATCATGAGATGATACCTATGTAGATGAGCGAACTGGCATTCTCGGAAGCATGATTGTTGGGTGTTGGGTAATTTTGAATGGGTGGTTATACATAGCATATGGAATAATGTCATAGAATGGTAGAATTTTGATTGGATTGTTAGTTATGGGTGATGTAAAAATATATGATTGACCATGAACAGCATTTGTGTTACTGTTATTGTTACTGTGTGGATGTGGTCGGTCCTAATTTGAGATTATACTCAGAATAATGATGATAAAGGTTAAATGACATGGACAACGCAGTTGATGTGTGAATGGAAGAGATTCTCTAGGTATATTTCTTGGTGACTTGATGGATTATTTTACCATTATTATTTACATCATGTCCAGTAGATTCAATATCTTTGAAAAATTTCGACGAAGGTTTGTTGTCGTCATTGATGAACAAGGGTACCTTAACCAATGAGCATCGTTATCAAATTTATAGGACCCCCACGCGCTTCTTAAATTGCCGAGCAAGTTGAACGAAGATTCATGCTATTTTCGCCTCCAAAAGTTTCATGCTATCAACAACTAGCTACACCTTTCCAAAAACACAGACTGACATCAATCTACGAATGGTCGGCACCTTACAATCATGAGTCAAAATAATAGAAAAGGAAAAGGAAAGGGCAGAGGTGGACAAGCAGGTTCGGGCGACAATTCTCATAGCAATACTCCAAATGCTGGTCGACCACAATATATGACTGTTGGACCTGGAAGTGCACCGGAAAGTGCTGCAAGATTACAAGCGCTCCTCGACAATGATTCTGGGTATGGAGGCAGTGTGGCTGGCGAAAGTTCGAACGGGGTTCCATCATGGAATCCTACACTGACACCGGATAGACCTACGCCTCCACCCTCTTCCCTTCCTCGAGGACAATCAAACGAAGTTTCTGAAAACGAGAGACGGTCGCAGGCAAATGCAATACATCAACTATGGTACAACCAACATCGGGTCACTCTTGGCAGATCAATCAATCGTGTGGTGGAAACTTTGAAGTCCTTGCAGGAAATGAACGCACAATGGCCAGCGATCTACCCCTCAGTTCAGCGCGAAGAATCTCAACACCATCGACAGGACCCACGGCCAGGCTTGGTACATACGCAAACTGGTATCAGGTCATCAACACCTGAACCTCGTCCTGGACAAGTGCGACGTGCTATGACATCTATTGGTGAGGGTAGCAGCAATGCGGAGTCGAGTCAAGCCGCAGAATCAAGATCGACTCCGGAACCCCGACTCGTAACACCTCAGATTGCACAGGAGTTTTCTATCTTGAAGTTGGATTTGAAGTTGGGATCCCTACATCAAACCGAGTTGGTACATTCTTTGGAAAAGGCTTCGATCGCATCTCTACTTGATGGAAAAATTAGTTCGAGCATAAATCATTTACTTTCATTACGTGAGCGGATCGAAGATTCTTCGAGTAAGGTTTTAGTAACGGGAGACTTGAATACTGGAAAATCGACATTCTGCAATGCACTTCTGCGACGAAAGATTTTGCCAGAGGACCAACAACCTTGTACGAGTATATTCTGTGAGGTTTTGGATGCGAGAGAAAATGGAGGAATCGAAGAAGTACATGCGGTACACAAGGAAACCATCTACGATCGACATGACGAAAGCACTTTTGACGTTTACACGATTCAAGATTTGGAACAGCTCGTCCTTGATAACGATACCTACACACAATGCAAAGTTTACGTCAAGGATGTACGCACGATTGACGAGTCCTTACTGAATAACGGAGTGGTGGATATTGCAATCATCGATGCGCCTGGTCTCAACTTGGATACTACGAAAACAACTGCGGTGTTTGCCCGACAAGAAGAAATTGATGTAGTCGTCTTCGTTGTTTCGGCGGCCAACCACTTTACACAAACTGCGCGAGAATTCATTTGGGCGGCAGCGGCGGAAAAAGCATATATTTTTATGGTTGTCAATGGATATGATAATATTAGGGATAAGGAACGATGCCAAAAAATGATTTTGGAGCAAATCCAAGGTCTAAGTCCTAGAACCTTTAAGGAATCCTCTGAACTCGTTCATTTCGTATCGAGTAATGCTATTCCAACTGCTGCTCTCGGCCCCCCTGGTCCACCAGGTGGAAGTGGTGGCGGAAGCGGTAGTTCTAGTGGAGGTAGCGGTGATGGACCAGACTTCGATGATGGTTCAGATCCTAAAGGAAAGGGCAAAGGCAAGGACAAGGAAAAGATTAGAGACTTTGAGATTCTCGAACAGTCACTGCGTCGATTTGTTCTCGAGAAGCGAGCTAGATCCAAGTTGGCTCCAGCAAAGACTTATTTACTCAATGTCTTGAGTGATATTCAAAGTCTTGCCACCGTCAATGCAGAGGTTGCACAATCCGAATTGGATCGTGTTACCAAGGAACTAGCAGATATCGAGCCAATGCTCGAGGCTTCTCAAAAGGCAAAGGCCGAAGTCAGCGATGATATTGACCGAACTATTGATGCAACATGCAAGGGTATTTACGATTACACCCGCTCGACGCTCAACGATACAATAGCTAGAACAGCTGATGGCGATCTTGGTATTCCATATCCAGGACTGTTCAGTGCTTTCCAGTATGCCGATGACATCAAGGAGGCTATCATGTCCGAAATCTCTGCTACTGTTTCTGCCTGTGAAGAACATGCACGTCGTAAGACAGTCGATGGCGTAACACAGATCAAGCAACTTGGCATCTTACATCTCGGTGATGAGTATACAGATTTGAGCTTCCGAAGCGGCATCATGTTCAAGCGCAAGCGTGATATTCTTGCTAAGCATCTTGACATTGAGACTGAATTGTGGGATTTCTTTGATTTCTCTACTCTACTTCAAAGACAAGAGAAGATGGCCGGAACTGGTATGGCAATGACTGTTGCCACTGTTCTTGGTAGTCGTGCAATTGGCGGATTCGGATGGGTTGATGGTGCTCTTTCTGCCGCAAAGATTATGGGCAACAACAATTTGCGTAGACTGGTCGTGCCAGGAATTTTAGCAGGAGGTATGTTTTGCATTTTTCTACGTTTTATATTCTCACTAATTTTTTTCCAGCTATCGCCGCAGCTTACTATGTCTTGAACCAAATCCCTCAATCACTTCCGCATCGTCTCTCCTCTAAGATCTCTACTCAACTTGCCGCCATTGATTACGTACACTCCAATAGTGATCGTATCTCATCATCCGTACGCAAGGTTCTTCGATTTCCTGCCGATAACCTTCGAGTTGGTCTTCAACGTTCAGTTGAACAACTTGGTACCAAACGTGAAGAGACTAGAAAGATTAGAGGTGAAAGTGAAGTTGCCAGAAAATATTTTGGTAACTTGGTCAACAAAAGTGCAGAAATCAGAAATAATGTCGAGAGTGTGGATTTGGAGGGACCAGCTCCAGGAGTGGCTGCTGCATACGATGCTTAGATTCTTTGTTATACCCCAATATCTCTTTTTCTTCTTATGCGTCAATGACAGCTTTCTCAGATGAATAAAAAATGGCGTTTTCTGAGGAATTTATTTTTTCTAAATACAATTAGGGATGGATTGATGGAACAGGTGATGGATGGTTGGTGATGTGGAAAATGGAAATATGAGTGGCGTTGGTCGTAAGCTTTAGGATTGATTGTATGGCGTACCTAGCTACTTCGGACTCCCCTCTCCACTTACTTTACTCAGTAGAAAAGAAATCAAACGAAAAGTAATATCATATACATTAAATATATCACATGTGAGATATGCGTTTGTGTTCCTACCGCCGGTGAGCTTGTTGCCAGGCCATATATCAGTGTATGATGAGCTTCCTAGATGAGTGGAATCCCCGGTGAACTTTTTGTAAATGATTTGCGGCTTTTCCCAAGTTTAGCTTTAGTGCTTATTATAGTTCATAAATTACTTTCGGTGAACATGCCTGGAGCTCCAGAATCAACATCAAATGGGCTCATGGGGGTAAATATTATAGGCCTTAAATATCAGGGTACAATTTAGCCAAGGCTGCTAAGATCCAAGGCTACGATTTTGGAAACGAAGCCGAACCATTACTACATGACGACTTGCACGGCTGCATCGAACACACACCATCAAATAATCTATACGAATTCACCTTACCTTCCCACTTTTCTCCATTTCCCCTTCCTCTCAACCCCAACATCCACTTCTAATCACCACCATGAATGTATGTACCTTTCCTCTCATCTCTCACCCTCAAGCCCCCCACTAACCATCCCCATCTAGATCGTCGAATGGGCATTTGGCAAACGCATGACGCCTGCAGAGCGCCTGCGCAAACATCAACGATCGCTCGAAAAAACACAACGCGAACTCGATCGCGAGAGAACGAAGCTGGAAAATCAGGAGAAAAAATTGATTCAGGAGATCAAGAAGAGTGCGAAGAATGGTCAAATGGGCGCGGCGAAGATTCAGGCGAAGGATTTGGTCAGGACAAGGAGATATGTGGAGAAGTTTTATAGCATGAGGACGCAGTTGCAGGCGATTAGTTTGAGGATACAGGTTTGTGGTTTTTATTGAGGGGATTTTGTTTTGGGGGGTTTTAAGGGGGGAATGTGGGAGGGGGGGTTGGGATGGGGAGGGTGATTGAGAGAGTTTATACTGATTTACCAAAATAGACGGTCCGAACTAACGAACAAATGATGCAAGCTATGAAAGGCGCTACCGGCGTTCTCGGCAGCATGAACCGCAGCATGAATCTCCCAGCGCTTCAAAGAATCGCCATGGAATTCGAAAAGGAAAACGACATTATGGATCAGCGACAAGAAATGATGGATGATGCGATTGATGATGTCACGGGCCTGGAAGATGAGGAGGAGGGCGAGGAAGTGGTCGAACAGGTTTTGGAGGAAATTGGAATCGATTTGAAAGCGGCGATGGGGGAGGCGCCACAGGGTTTGCAGAGTCAGACGGTGGCGGAGGGGAGGGTGGCTCAGGCTGTTGGGGGTGGTGGGGCGGCGGATCCGGGTGATGATGATTTGCAGGCGAGATTGGATAGTTTGAGGAGGGATTGAGTGGGTTGTTGATTCATTGATTAGGGGGAAGGGATGGAGGGGGTGGAGATTTATTGATTGAGGTCACATGCAAAATCATTTCTGCAAAAGAGAATGATCATCTGTGGCTATGGAAATCACTATGGAAATCGAAATGGACAGATGAAATTTGCAGTGGAGAGAGTACATGGTGTTTGTCGATCCATACATACACTACACTCATAATTCTTCCATCGGCGTTACTCACAGGATTGGGGAAGGCGTCTCTTAGGGGTTGTGGTTTGGGTCTGGTCTGGTCTGGTAGGATGGACTTTACAGATTCTTTCTATTTTTCTTTTCTTTATGATTGTCTGACTGTCTTTTACAAGAAGTAAATGGAATGGAGATTATGAGCTTGAGAATGAGGATGAGGATGGGAGTCTTGGGATGGATGGGAGGGGAGGTGGGGGGTTTAGTTTCTTGGGGGAGGGGACTGCTTATGAGTACATATGTCTATTCATCCATTCGTACATAGGTAATAAATGAGGAATCGATGAAATTTGTTAGATGTGAGGATTTTTTGATTAGTTGAGTTTATAGAATTGAATGTTTTTGTGAGGTTTAGTGGTGTGAATTCCGGAGGGTTGGTAGTTGAGGGATGAATAGTCGTAGGGAATGAATAGATGAATAGGCCATGAATGGATTTCTTGAGTGAGTTCTTTCTTTCTTGATGGTAAGAGTAAGAGCATGGGTGGTTAGAATTTGATGGTGTTGTGATACTTATTAGGTAGGTAGATGGGTATGATGCACTGTAATGTAATGGAAGTGGATACATGTGTAAGTGTGTATAGATATTTATACACTTAGAATATAAATAATTATCCATTTACCTATTCATTTATTTACTTTCTGTTTTCTAGTAGATATGTATATGTGTGTATGTATATAAAGATCGCGGTCATTTTGATAGAGATTATAGACTCTTTTAGGCATATACGCTGTAAGGCTTTATAATTCGTTGAATTGGATTGAGATCTATAAAAACCGGTCTCCGCTCTATTCGAACAGGCTAGCGATGTCTATATCCTAGGCTTGATTAGGCTTTAGATTAACCTTAAATTGTAATGTTTGAAGCTTATAGGCTTGTTAAGTTTAACATGGGCTTAAAATGATTGAAATACAGGCCCTATAGTACTTAATTAGTATACTTTATTATAGGCATCTATAGGACTACCTAGTCTCTTTTAAAATAACCGCGACCTTCGTAGATATAGTAAGTAGGGCCTCTTTCTTTCATAGCTCTTTTACTCTTATAATGTAATATAAGTCTTTACTTATATCTTAATATTAATATAGATATCACGTAGTTTATTATCGAGTAGACTATATTATTGAGTGGGTTACTTTAAAATATATTAAAATTACTCTTTTTCTAATATTTAAATTTTAATAATTAATTAATTTTTTTATTAAATTATTAGTAAGAAAAAATGTCTTATGAAAATATTGAGTTTTTAAATGAAAATGTCTATTATATTTTATAAGAAGTTAAAATTGTTATGATTTTCATTATAAAAAAACTATTTCTATAATAACTACTAAGTTATATAAATTTAAATTTCTAATAAATAATTAAATTTTTATTAAATTTTGTAGTTTCGATTTTTGAAAAAATATCTTATTAAATAAAGAAAGTATATAATTATATATAAACGAATTTTGTATGTATTTAAAGTAGTTTATTTAATAATATAGTTTATTCGATGATAAATTATGTTAGGTATAGATATAGAAATTTAATATATAGTAATTATAGATTTGAATGATTTAAATATTAAATTTGGATTAGATATAGAGATAGAAAGGAGTAGATATATACTTATTTAAATGAATAGATAAATGAATAAAGTTTAAGCTTTAAATCTTTTGTTTTATTATTAGAAGATTATAGTAAGTAATAAGTAATGAGTATTAAGTATTAATTAAATAGAATAAACTCGATTATTAGATTGCTCGACTACTAGAATGGATTACTGAACTACTTGAATGAATTACTAGACTACTGGAATGGTGTTACGACGGCATCCAATATACCGCGTCACATGGTCAGGAAGTCACGTGATGGACCTAGAGGATCTAGGGGATCGAAGAATAAACATCTAGATCCATAGGATCCAGAGGATCCAGACAAGACAGAACTGTAGGTTCTGCAGAGCAGGAAGGTCTATATAAGAGAACAGATTTCATTACAATGTAGAGCTTCGTGCTCAAGAACAATCATTAGTTTCATTACTATAGTTACGAGAATTGCAACCAGTTACCAACCTTATTGAATTCCTACTTGAAGTCTAGTCTAAACCACCTCGAGAGATCTCTAGACACTTCCACGTGACCCTAGAGGCAGCTCCCGTAACAAATGGATTACTAGACTACTCGATTACTAGATTACTAAACTATTGAAATGAGTTGAAAGAGTTTAGATGAGTTGGGAGAAGTGAGGTGAGTTGTATTATATCAAATTGAATTGAATTAAATTGTATTATATTGGGTTCGAATGAGTAGTATGAAAGGAAGGAAGCTATTATAGCTAGTATTTTTAATTGTTGTTTTGAGGGTTTGAGAGATGAAATTGAGGATGAGAGATGAAGGAGGTAAGTGTAGAGATATAGAGAGATATAGAGAGATATAGAGAGATATAGAGAGATATAGAGAGATATAGAGAGATATAGAGAGATATAGAGAGATATAGAGAGATATAGAGAGATATAGAGAGATATAGAAAGATATAATCTTTAAATTGAATAAATAGTTATATTCGAGTAGAAATATAAATATTAATATAAAGACATAAAGAAAGTTAATTTTTAGATTAAATAGATGATTATATATATAATATATTTATCTACAGAGTTGATATTTTGCTATGAGTGTCTAGAGAGGTAGGTAGGGAGGTAGGTAAGGGAGTATAAGAATGAGATGAGATAGAATCGCATGATGAGCTGGGTAATGATTAGTATATAGGAAAAGTGATTGGTGTATAGATAGGTATCTATTTTGTATTTAGGTAGGTCTCTTCGTTGTATTGTATAGATAGTATAGAGATAGATAGATAAATAACTATCAAATGAGAATTTCACTTTATAAGATCGTGTTAGAGATGACTTGATATCGAGATATCTCGCTAGCTGGATATACTCGGTATATTGGTAGGTTCGTATGTTCGGACGTACATGGTGGCACGAGGTAAGTTGTACATGTACATGTACGTGTACTTGGCTGTACGTGTACCTGGGATATGTGTATGCATGTATGTTTTTTGGTCTTGGAGCAGTATGTGGTTGAGGAGTGAGATGGGATGGATGGAATGCGAGGGAATGAGAGTGGGTTGGTTGTATGGATTGTAAGGTTAATGTGATTATCACTTTGGGATAGAGATAAATAGCTGGTAGTACCTAATCTACTCGTAGACGTTCTTTGAATTATACTCCGTGCACAAGAAGCGGGAGATACCTAGGATGTGGTATTTTGAGATTTCCCCAGATTTCTCCTCTCGTCTCATTCATTCAATGATATGTAGATTGATATGTAGATTGATATGTAGATTGATGAATAATTGTGTTTGATTGTAATTTCCCATGAGGAATACTGGCGATACACAAAGGTTATTTATTATAGTAAGACTACTTCCACCAGTGTTTGTTGGATTTAACGGTTTCTTTGTATCAAAGTGTATTTATACCTTGGACCTTGTAAAGTATTAACAAAGTAGAGAATTGCTAATGAGTACTCTGTAAATGTGATATTTATATTTGCTGGTAACTTATTTATTATACCTAGTATTTATTAATATATCTTTCATCAAATCCCAGCACCGTGGTACTCTATTATCAGAGTGGATTGCGGACTGAATCCATTTGAAGATTATATTATTATCTTGACATTTTACCTGGTTTCTGGTGTATCCAGGTATCCAGGTATCCAGGTACCTACCCAAATACCCAATCTCGAGCCAATTACCTACCCAAATACCCCACGAACCGACCGCAAAAACGATGTCATGGGAGAGGAAATGCTGATCCAAGCTAATTAACTCCCAGTCAGTCTCAACTCAACTCAGCTCAACTCAACTCAACTCAATTCAATTCAACCTCAACTCATCTCCTATTGTACCTTTCCAACGGTTGACATTTCATTCCAATATCGAAACACTTACAAATCATCATACTACCCAGGTATTCATTGTCTGGTCATATTACAAACTCAACTACCTACCTACCTACCTACCTACCACTTCTCGAGGGCGATGCAAACAAGTAAAGCAACCTAACAAACACATCAGAGCAAGAACGATAAATTCACACAGCAAACGATCCTTCTTCTTTCCTTCGATAACAACCGTCGGTCTCTTCTCGAGACACTTTCATTTAAATCAAACAAACTGGCAGGAAATAAGAGGAGGAGCTTTTCCTCCCAAGGAGGTCTGCTCAACAGAATGTTTGGCAGCTCAAGTTCCCCACCAAAAGATTCATCCTTAGCTTCCACCACAACTCCTCCCACCTCTTCCGAATCTAGCGCCGATTCATCAACCGCTCTCAATAATCCAGGCGATGCATCAACCGCTTTAAGAGCACTCGATGGTGAGACTGGCACATCCGAAAAACGCAGCGGCAATGGTAGTCCGCCAGGTCGCGCAATTCCCGGCGATGGTTCTGGAGAGAAGAAACGCCGGAGTAGCGGGGTCGGCGGTAAAGCCAGCTCGTTTCTGGCCAGTGCGAAGAATTCATTGCACTTCAGTCAGAGTCCTAATTCTTCCGGATTCATGTCTGGTGGCCGTTCGAACGACGTAGTGCAAACGCCCTTGCAGAAGTTGGGAAAACAAGATCCGGCCTTGACGGTTCCCCAAGGTCAGCATAATAATTCGGCGGGAGAATCTCGTCCCGGCCCTAGATCGACTTTCAAAGTCGGCGTTTGGGAAGACAAAAATAAGAAATGTCGTCGCACGATGGAGGATACTCATGCTTTCCTGTATAACTTCTTACATACACCTGCACCTGTGGTGGGAGCCGATTCGAGCTCAAAGTCGGAAAAGTCAGATAAAGTCGCAAGTGATTCATCAGATAGTCTTGCTCGGCCGGTATCCGCACAATCCATGTTGGAGACAGACAATGGTTACTTCGCAATCTTCGATGGTCACGCAGGTACATTTGCTGCAGATTGGTGTGGAAAGAAACTACATCTCATTTTGGAGGAGACTATACGAAAGAATCCGAATACCCCGATTCCAGAACTTCTCGATCAAACCTTTACAACTGTCGATGCACAGTTGGAAAAATTACCCTTGAAAAACAGTGGTTGTACTGCCGTGACAGCAGTTCTTCGTTGGGAGGATAGGATACCAAACGCTTCATCTGCTACGGGCTCTACAGCTATTGCACCTGCGACCGCTGCTGCTGTTAAAGCTGCTGAAGAAACACCAAAGACTGAAGATGGCAGTGCGTCACAACAGCCAAAGGCCGTTTTGAATGCCCCTACTGGAGATGTTCAAGCAAAACTTAAAAGCACTTCCACTCGTGCCAGAGTTTTGTATACAGCTAATGTTGGAGATGCACGTATTGTATTGTGTCGTAATGGCAAAGCCTTACGTCTATCTTACGATCATAAGGGTAGTGATGAGAACGAAGGAAAACGTGTTGCAAATGCAGGTGGTTTGATTCTCAATAATCGTGTCAATGGCGTTTTGGCAGTTACTCGTGCCCTGGGAGATGCGTATATGAAAGACTTGGTTACAGGCCATCCATATACGACTGAAACTGTCATACAACCTGATAGCGATGAATTCATTATTTTGGCTTGTGATGGTGTAAGTATCTTTGCAATTGCTTGTAGAGAGTTTTACTAATCAGATTATATAGTTGTGGGATGTCTGTTCAGATCAAGAAGCAGTTGATCTCGTTCGTCATCAACAAGATCCTGTTGCCGCAGCTAAACAACTTGTCGAATATGCCCTCGCTCGCTTCAGTACGGATAATTTGTCTTGTATGATTGTTCGATTTAATCGACCACTTCTTGTTGCAACGGCAAAAGATTCTCATGCAGCTATTGGCGTTGAAGGTGATGGCAATATGGGACTCGGTACACTATCCGAGGCAGATAAAATTGTTTCAGAATCTCAGCAAAAAGTTAAAGATGGAGCATCAAATCTCGGTGTGAGTGGTAGCAATAGTGGTGCAGGACATGATCCTAAATTTGATGGAGCCGTAGAGGATGATGAAGATGAAGAGAAACCTCGGATGGAGAGTGTAGTTGAAGAGGAACCTCAATCTATCGAGGGTGATTCATCGGCTCCGGAAATAAATTTCAATGCTGTGGAGAAGGCAAAGACGGAGGAGACGGCTGCAAATTTGCATTTACCGGCTGGAGCTGAGAAATAATGTTTTTTACTTGTGTATATTTTGAGTGGAAGGGGTAGTGCGGGGAGCGGTCTTTTTTCTTTTCTTTGCGGTTTGCTGAGTGATTATTTGGGTTTATTTTGGGAGGTCGAGAGGGGTGGAAGGGGTGGATGGATGGATGGATGGATGGATGATGGCTTGATGAAATTTATCTAAGTTATGGTTCTGTGAAATGGGTAGAGGGATTTGGGGAAGGATGGATGGAAGAAGTTTTTAACTGACAAGTGGGTGCTATGAATATGAATATGGATGTGGGGGGTTGGCGGGGTCGGCAAGGGGAAGGGGTAGGTGCATATTAAATTACGCGAAGTACCTAAGCAATGATACGCAGTGTAGCGTACTATACCGTACAATGTATGAATGTTTGCATGCTTGATATGAATTGAATTGAAATGATTGGGATGGGATGGATTGAAAGTTATTGGTCTTTTATGGTTTTCATGGGTTTTTCTTATAGTGTGGTTATATTTATGTGTGTGTGTGTCTCGATATCTTATAACATTACAAAGAATTCCTGTATATGAATTTAGGGGTGAGTGAACTTGCTGGTATTTCGGAGCGTATAATATTTCCTATAAAATTGTTAAGACTATATAATATAATTATGATAGGAAAGTTGTATTTAATTAACTATACTCCTTATGAGAATCGATTATAAGATTTAGTATATTTTGTATAGAGATTTACAGTTACTATATATAGATAATAGTCGATGATCTAAATTATATTAAAATTCATTCTCAAAACGAATGGATTTAAATATAATCATATCTGAATTTATCATATATATTAATAGAATTCCATTAAGTTCTAGCTATAGATTTCACAAAAATGAATAGTTTATTTTTAGGATTTTTATTAATTATACTATATAGTTTTTGAATATAGTAATTTAGAAATTCTCGAATTTACTAGGAAAATAAGCGAAATTTAAAGAACTTTTATCAGAGTTTATTTTAATCATGAAATACTAATTCTATAATTTATATTAGAGCTGAAAAATTAAGAAATGTAGTTCTTTAATATATAAATGATTTATTTGAAAAGTTTTAATTAAAAATATGATTATGAATATTAATATATTATTATATGTGTCACGATATACACGTGATCGCATCCGATTGGACTAGTACGGTACTAAGCTTCGAGCCGATCGTATATATAGCTCTATAGTATACTCTCTTTAGCTCTGTAGCTTTTAATTCTAAGATTGATCTCTTAATGTTTGTTGGGTTCGTTATAATATGAGATATATTAAATCGCTATTTTTTAGTATGATTAAGATAAGTAGTTATTATGTATACTCTAGTACTATAGAAACATCTATTATTATTCGTTGATGTTAAATTCTTTATATTTTTTAATTTAGATGTTAGTATTTTATTTGTATAGTATATAGAATTTAAAAGATAATCTAATTAAAGTATATTTTTTATTTATTCTTCTTTTTCTTTATTTATATTACTTTTAAAAACTATTAATACTATATATAACGTAGTTTATTAGTGGGTCGGTTATATCAATGAACCGACTACTTTTATCTCAAATTATTATTCTATATTTAATATATGTTTTCTTTATAATTAATTATAAAAATTCATTGTAAAGAAGTATATATAATTTTAATTATTCAAGCTATTGAATTAAATAAAAAATTATTAATTCAAAAGATAGCTTAGCTTTATTATATATCTTGAATTATATTGAGTAATAGAATTCAAGGTAAACTTAATATAATTAAAAATTGATTAAAAAGTTATAATTTAATTGAATTAAAAAAGGAAGTATTTATTTAATATATTTTTGATATAGATTTGAAAGATTTTTTATTTAAATTTAAAAATATAAAAGATATAGCAAATTATATTCTTGAATTAAAAGATGTGAAATGTATCGAGAAGCTTTGTGTTACGGGAGCTGCCTCTAGGGTCACGTGGAAGTGTCTAGAGATCTCTCGAGGTGGTTTAGACTAGACTTCAAGTAGGAATTCAATAAGGTTGTAACTGGTTGCAATTCTCGTAACTATAGTATGAAACTAATGATTGATCTTGAGCACGAAGCTCTACATTGTAATGAAACCCATTCCCTTATATAGACCTTCGTTCCTTGTTGTCCCATTGATCCCATCGTGTCCCACCAGGTGGGAGCAGTGGGATCCAGTGGGAATCTCTAATCCCGTGACTTTCTGATCAGGTGACTCGGTATGTTAGATGTCGTCGTAACACTATCCCCTTCCTAGCTTAGCGCTTGTCCCAAGCGTTCATAAAGTGAGTTTCCCCCACTTGATTAATTCCGTAGTGCCTTCCTTTCTGTTTGTTATGATGTCCGTTATTCGTTCTTCAAAATCTGTTGCTAGTCGTAAAAATATTTATTTTCGTTCTAAAGACAAAGGTGTCATTATGTCTTACAAGTGTAGTCGCTGTTTGGAGAAGAACCTTGAGTGTCGGGTGCTTCCAAATGCTGTGCGCTGTGGTGAATGTATAAAGAGTGTGGGCAGTGGTCGTTGTGATGTGTATGGCCACTCTGCGGGCGATTGGTCTCGTGTTAATTCTGAGGAAGAGCGTCTTGAGTTCGAGGAGGAGAAGGCTGCGAATGCTATGGCTGAAGCAGCTGCTCGGCTGGCTCCTGCGAAGGCAGAAGCGTGTTTTGCGGGAAAAGGCTGGCAAAATGCTTCAACATGACCTTCGTACTATTGAAGCTCTTGAAGAGTTTGAGGCTGAGGAACAGCGATTGGAAAATGAGCGTATTGAGAAGGAAAAGGAGTTGGCGTCTGTCTCTGCTGCTGGCCCTAGCGATGGTTCCTTTGTTTTCGACTCTTCTTCTTTGGACCCTTCGATCCTGGCTACAATGGATTCTCCTTCCTTCTGGGCAAATCCGGGTATTGCTGGTGGAACGCCTCCAACTTCTCAGGGCAGTTGAGGTTTGTTCTTGGTTCCCATGAATTTTCGGTGTGTGGATAATCTAACCATTTGATTAAATATTTGATTGTGCCTCTGACGTATTTACAATCTAGTATTGTTTCGACATCGTATATGGCGTTCGGGTTGACTGGTTCGATTTCCGTTAATGGCGCATTCGGCGCTCCTGGTGGTGCTGGTTCGAGCAAGGATATGTGGAATACTGGGTGGATGTTCATCGTGTCTGGTAGTTTTAACCGATAATTGACGGTTCCTATTACCTTATCAATCTTGAATGGTCCTAGTTTCCTGTGGTCGAGTTTATTGCTTGGTCTTTTGGTTTCAATGTTTCGTCGTAGCAAGTAAACTTTATCCCCCTCTTTAAGCGTAGGTTCCATACTACGTTTCGTATTGTAGTACGCTGCTGTTCTGGATGATATGAATCTTAGATCAAGAGCAAGCTGTTCTTGTAAATCTTTTAACTGTTCGACTTGTATTATTGCTGATTCGGCATTGACTTCTTGTGGTATCGGTGTTTGATATGCTTTAGGATTAAACCCAAAGTTAGCGCGTGCTGGTGTTATCTTTGTGGTTTCCGTTTCCGATGTGTTATATGCGAACTGTGTCATAGGTAATAGTTCTACCCAATTGTCTTGTCGATAATTTACATAGCATCTAAGATATGCTTCCATTGTCTGATTGGTCCTTTCTGTTTGACCGTCTGTCTGTGGGTGGAAAGCTGTCGACAGCTTTCTTTTAATACCCATTAGTGCTAATAGGGTAGTCCAGAATTTCGAGGTAAAGAGCTTGTCTCTGTCCGAGATTATCTCATCTGGTACTCCATGTATGCTTACTATGACCCTGAAGAATACATATGCTAGTTGTTCAGCAGTCCATGTTTCTTTGAATGGTATCATGTATGCGAATTTTGTTAATCTGTCTACTACGTTGAGTATTGCGTCGTACTCAATCGCCGTGGTAGGGTCCTTTGAGAGTGGTAGTTTGACCACAAAGTCCCATATAATGGACTTCCATGGCTGAGAAGGCATGTCTGGGGTCTGGAGCTGACCATACGGAGCGTGTCTAGAGGACTTATTCCGTATGCAGGTATCGCAATTTCCAACAACTTCTTCAACTATCGTTCTCATTCGTGGGAAGTAACTGATTTCCCGTAATCTTGCGAATGTTCTCGCGATTCCCTGATGTCCATGTGCCGGCAACCCGTGTTGTTCCGTCACGAATTCCTTAGTCATTCGACTAGGAATGTATACTTTTCCGTGGAAGTATATGATCTCGTTTTCTATCGTGAATCCTGGTTCTATTGTCTTGCGTATGCGTATAGCTGTAGCATCCTTGTCGTAATGTGATTGGATTTGACTCCTGAGATGGTTGTCTTCCAATATATGAGTAGCTGCAAGCTGTGGTGCATTGTAAACCAGTGATTCGCCTTCTTTCTTGAATATAGCGTACGATTCGTACGACTTATTTTCTTGATATTCTGGTTTTCGGCTAAGAGCGTCGGCTCTAGCGTTTTCTGATCCTTTGACATATGAAATCTTAAAATTGTAGTTGGCCATGGTTTCCGACCATCTGACCTGTCGTCTGTTTAACTGCTTCGTTGTGGTGAAGTAAACCAAGTTCTTATGATCCGTATACACCTGTACTGTGTATTTTGATCCTTCCAAATATACTCGCCATTCTCTAAATGCGTCGACTATCGCCAGTAATTCTTTGTCATATATTTCGTAGTTCAATTCGGCTGGTGATAGCTTTCGAGAGTAGAATGCGATTGGTTGCTATTTCTCATTTTGACCTGGTTGGCTCAACACTGCGCCTATAGCAAAATCTGAGGAGTCCGTTTCCACTATGATTTGCTTATCAGGATCGAATGTCAACAGTATTGGCTCCTCGGCCACTGCCTGTTTGAGCGTTTCGAAGGACTCCTGCGCCTTGGCGGTCCATTCGAAGCTTCCTTGATCTTTTCTGGTTAACGTGGTCAAGGGTGTAGTAATTCCTGAATAACCCTTGATAAATCTTCGGTAGAAGTTGACAAATCCCAAAAAGGATTGTACTTCCTTAATGGTG